ATGCTGATGATGCTGATGATGATGACATAAATTTTTAAAAGCCATGTGAGTTCAGATAAGGAATAGATGGCATCCAGGTAAAGGCCTCTGGAAAAACATCATGCACGTTGTTGGCATTGAGTCGAGCTTTAAAGGACAAACAGACTTAGGACATGTAGACAGGTGGAGAAGGAGGGAGAAATATTCCACTTGGGAATAGCATGAGCAAAGGTACATTTCAGTCAAAACACCAGCGTGTCCAGTCCAATACTCAGCCTGATTGATTTCGACTCCTGTTCCAGCTCCCTGGCTTGTTTTGTAACCTCTTAGCCTTTGTCTGCCAAACATCCATGCCAGCTGCCATTGGGGCCTAAAAGCCAGAGAGCTACACCGGCCACCGCCCTCCCTCAACCTTCTGCACAACAGCTTCTCATTCTCTCCCTGCCCTCACACAATTTCACATCTGTCCTTTCCACAAAGAGAATTTCAGAAGCAACTCAGGCAGGAGTGCTCATGGTCTCAAGAGTAACCACACAGAAACCGAGAAGCCCAGGAATAGCCAAAAACAGTGCAGGACAGCTAACACCGAGCTCAGCTCAGCTTAGACACCGAAGTTACGAGTTCCCAGCAGACCAGAGAGTGGGGCTGGGAAACACACTAAATCCAGTCTCCAGTGACACCCAGGTATCTGGAAATGCTTACCTTGGTTCCCATAAAGCCTAACGGGGAGCTGCATTGGAGACACAAAATAAGGCCAGTAAATTCCTGAAAGGAGACAGTTCTTTTTCCTTGGAGACAAACCAAATTATGCATTGCCTCTCTCGCCAGCAACACATTCTGGCTCAAACATTTTTAAAAGAAGGCTGTTGAACATCTGCTGAGCAATTAATGGAATGCAGGAGTGTGCTATAATGGTCCCCGGGAAGGTATTAGCAATCCTGCTTAGGAGACACGAAATGCTGCAGACGGTGGTCCTTTTCCCTCTTTTTTTAAAATTTTATTTGTATTTTCCCCTGCCTGCAGGGGGAAGAGAGGAAGGGAAAGGAAGTTGCGGTGAAATATCTGTATCAAATATTCTCCCTCACTGTTTTCTTTCCCTGGGCTTCTTCCTACCCAAACAGGAGTGTGTTCATTTCAACTTAACAAACGAAACTGTGGCGAGTGTCTCAGTGCACCGATTCCCCGCCCAACGAGCTTTCTGCGTATGAAATAATTTCCTCCACCTGTCTGAGTAGAGAATCTACCACCCTGATCAAATAGTTCTCGCTTTTGTTTTAATCATATAGTTACGGCTAATTTAGGATCAATCCCCAGCCCGCACGTATTTGACGTCCTTAGCACAACCACTGAAGTACTAGCCTTAACACGACAGTGTCTTTTGTTTAGAAAAGTCTGGCTGAGTGACTCTGCCCTGTGGGTACTGCCAGTCCTAACCCCATGAGGACAAACGCGGCTGCACTCAGTAGGACAGATGTTTCCAAGACTCAGTGGTTGGGTCCGCCCTTGGCATTCTCTTCCTCCTCTCCAAACGGGAGCTAGTTATTCACATATAAATCCGCACCACTCCTGTCCCTGAGCCAGTCCCAAAGCTCCATGATGCCAGCTGATCGGGTTTATAATGACAGTGCCCAAAGCCCCTACTGTCAGATCTCACAGGGCATTGCTGTGAACAGCTCAGGAAGTCAGAGATGTCAAAGGATTTCCTCACTCTATCCAAACTGGCCCAGTTTATGACTGGGCTTTGGCCTTGAACTGAATCTCTGCTCTGGGTGTTCTCTCAGTCTTGGGCAACTCCCCATCACATAGACGCAGACGGCGGGGGCTCTTCTGCAGATCTCCATGTACGTGCCTGAGCTCCCAGGGAGGTCCTTCCCTCTCTTCCCTCTGCCGCTCCTCCTCCCCGAGATCTGAGCCCTGTTCCCCATGGTCCCCGCTTTGGAATGAGCTATGAACATTCATTTGAGAAATTTTCCAGCTCTTCCAAATTCTGCATCATTCCTGGCCATCTGGAGCTGAGACCCGTGCCGACAAACCCTTCATGGCCATGAGGGAGAGGTGTTCTTTCCCACGTGGGTTCATGGATGACGCTGTATCTGTTTCCCTGGCCAAACCACTGAAGAACCAGTTTCAGTTAAACACCCATTTTTTTTATTCCTGTTTTTCAATTTGATCCCAGCTCTATATCAGATGATGCCATAGTAGGGAGGCATCCTTCAGAAACATTTGAAACAAGATTTCAAATTCAGCAAAAGTGATCTGAGCAACCTTGGGAATGTGGTATGACAATCAGGTAAATAAAAACCAGGATCATAAGATAACTGATGGAAGAGAGATCTGGAGAGGGGGAAAGGAATGAAATGTGCCCCCAGAATCGGAGAACTGGATGGGTAGGCAAGGTCTCCATCTTGATCTACGATGCTCCCCTTTCTAACAGAGGCCCCTGGAATATGATAGGGGGGAGTTTCCTAATAAATCAAGGGGCTCAACAGCAAAATATCTGCCCAAAGATAGTACTTGTTTTAGAAGGTGAGTAGCTGTAAAGCAAATTTTGCATCAGAAGGAATGAAGTAGATGAGGTTCAGTCTTCCCCCTAAGCAGGCTGGACCATGTCATTAGATTTAATAAATCACTAAACCTATGTAAACTCATTTCAAGTAGTTACTTTCTACTGATTTGACAAAATGTGTCAGTGGCTCAGCTCTCAGAAAGACTACAACTGATGTGTCTGGACAGTGTCTGTTCACTTCAGTCACCCGTGTGTAACATTCCTGTGTCAGTCACCACCATTCACCCACGGCCACGGGTCAACCTTCTGGGTAGGAAACAGCCCATCTAGATCATCAAATGCACCAAGATAAGTAGGCACACCTTAGGCTTAGTGGTTGCTCTTATAGGTGCTACTTAATTGTTCTCTGTTTTCTTACACTTCCTTAACTTCTTCAGGGTATTTTCATCAGCAATGCAATTCAGAAAGTGGCAGTGGTTCATCTGCTTCCCACCCAGCTGTCCCCGGTGATGGAAGCTTCATGAAGGCAGAAACTATTCCTTCCGGAGAACACTGCTTGGCTCAGAGCAGGAGGGCAGGCAGTAAATGTCTGTTCATTGGATGGATTAGGATAGCAAGCTGTAGCACAGCCCATCAACCTGATTCATCCCCCTTCCTCTTGAGTCATCTCCTCAAGTGACCCTTTGAATCAGTCACAGCTCCGCTCAAAGGTCTCTAGGGCTTCCCAGAGCCCAGTCGAGAAAGCATAGACTACCCGGCATATTTCCACACTTTCCCTCCACAATCCCATGCTCAGGAATAGTGACTGTCAAATAGTTGTTCATTTTAGGCAGTGGGACTTTTTTTAAAACAAATTTTTTTAATGAAACCCTACTAGTAAAGATAAAAGATAGTATATAAGTGGAAAAGCAGCCAACCCACTTGGCCTTCTGGTAGACCTAGGTAACCTCCAAAATCTCCAGGGAACCAGAGGATGAAGTTGGAAGCAGCTGCCCTCTGTCCCCACTTATTCAGTATCTCCAAAGCCCTTGACTCATCCATGTGCCTTCCCTGTGCTTCGGAGCTTGGAATGTCTCCAGCTTAATCCTATCCATCTATCCACCTTCTCCAAGATGCTTTCCTGCATCCTTTTGACTGGGTGCGATTTATCTCTGCTTTAAATGTCCTATACAGCTTTGTTAACAATACACAGAGTAAGACGAAGAAAAACACACACAGTGGTTTACTCTGTCAGGCACTACTCCGAGTGTGTTACCTGAATTAACGTAATCCTCACACAATCGAACGAACACAGGCACTGTTGCTGTCTCTGAGGCACAGAGAAGTTAAGTCTCTTCCAAGGTCTACACAGTAAGTGTGTGATGGAGCCAAGACAACCCAATGGTCCGGCTGCAAGATCACAAAGTCCAAGCGCTCAAGTACGCCCCGTCGCCTCTCTGCATGAGAATGCATGCACCTGACTCACTGAGACCCCACCATTGCCCCTGTCCCCCACCCCAGCACGCCACCGCTACATCCAACTTTGTCACATCACAGCCTGATTACATGTATTCTGAGGACAAAGATCATTTCCTGCTGCCCGTTATACTCTATGCAGCACCAGCGCAGTACTCAGCAAAAATAAGTACTCAATAAAGATTGTTAATTTAATTCAGTATTAATACAACACAATGATATCTATTTCCATATACTTGGGATTACCTGAATTATCACTGAGACTTCTATATAGCCTTAGGGAGAGGATTTCTCCCCCCCCCCATCTTTTATAGGTGAAGAGACAGAAGCTCTGGCATTGGTTGATTTGGGAGATCATGACTGACTTGGGGTTCAATTCCTGGCTATGGCCGTGTGCATTGCCCAAATCCCAGATACTTCCGCTGCACTACTCAAAACTTGAAAAAATGATTTGTAACAGGAATAATTTGAAAATAAGGTTTTTCAGAATGATAAAAAAAAAAGTTATTTGTAGAATTAACTTTACGGTCAAGACTTTTGTTCGGATGCAGCTTGCTATCATGTGAGGTGTGCGTATCTAGGAGAGTCACTGATGGCTTTGGCCAGGGACTAAGAAAAAGTCACTTCATTCTGCTGCCTTAAGGGTCTCTATTAAGGCAAAAATGCCAAGCAAGAAATCTCCAGCCCTGGCCAGTTTGGTTCAGCGGTTGGAGCGTCAGCCTGCGGTACAGAGAGACCCGGGTTCGGTTCCCGCTAAGGGCAGGTACCTCGGTTGCAGTTTGTCCCCGGCCCTGGTTGGTCGTGCGGGTGGCAGCCACTCGATGTGTCCCTTCACATCGATGTTTCTCTCTCTCTCTCTTCCTCTCTCTCCCTCCCGCTCTATCTGAACAAAAAATGTCCTCGGGTGAGGATTAAAAAAAAAAAAAAAAAGAAAGAAATCTCCAAAGAATGATGCTGTCTCTGATAAGGAGAGGCATCATCTAGTCTTGTTCTGCTAAAACATAGATCGGGGTCCCCTTTGCTGGAGCCACTAGCTCAGACCAAGGACATGAGGACTGACCTGCTGTCAAGTGGGCTGCATGGACCAGGACTTGGATGCCGGGTTTCAGCTCGAAGTGCACTGAGTTTTGGTTGAGCTTGTGGATCAGTAGTTCTGATATCTGAAAGAAGAAGAGTCACTGTCAGGACCACCAAATTGTCACACTGACCATACACAGATATGCTGAGAAATATTTACCATATTTACGGAGGCATTCTCAGTAGTATGCCTGTGAATTATGTAAATGACTTTTAATAGGATTTTGAGTTTTTATTCCAGAATATGCAGAAATAATTATTTTCAAGCATGATCTGACTTTACATCCTTAATGCTACAAAAGAGGACAAACTGTTGGTACATCAAGTGATTTTTTTCAATAAAAAATTATCCTGTGTTAGCTTAGAAGAGTCACCCCTAGTATTTTTAATTTGTTATACAAAGAGCTTGAAAGAAGTAGATAAGCACAATTTATACATGGTGGTGAGATTAATGTGCATTTATCTTATTTCTTGATAGACTCCACGTATTGCTCCCTGTGCCTTCCACCTCTTCCCCACACCATGCTCTGTGGCTTTCACAGAATAGATACTTCATGAATAATTTATTGAATGGCAAATATAGTTCTTCTAAAATAATAAGTTATACAGTTAAAACAAAGTGCAACCACAACTTAAGGAATGAGTTGGCTGACCCTTGCTTCATGGGTGTGAACATCGGCTGACCCGCTACTCTGGCTGACATCTTGGACAAATGCAGGGAATTCTGGGCCAGAGAATATTTAACCCCAACATGGGGCAAGGAACCTTGTTTGGGTAGTTAAGGTAAGGTCTTAGAGTCAAGGTAAAATGCTGTTCACGTGTTCAAAGTAGAAAACCCAGCTTAGTTTGCTTATTTTGAGAAAATTCTGAAAAGCTATCCCCACACTCTTATTAGTAGTAGTAGTAGTAGTAGTATTTTAAATCCTCACCAAGGATAAGCTTTCATTGATTTTAGCGAGAGCGGCAGGGAGGGAGGGAAAGAGGGGGGGGGGAGAGAAAGAGAAGCATAGATACAAGAGAGAAACATTGATCAGTTGCCTCCAGTATGCATGGGGATTGAATCCGAAACTTAGGTATGTGCCCTGACCAGAAATGGAACCCATGACCCTTTGGTGCACAGGATGACACTCCAACCAACTGGGCCACACCTACCAGGGCTCATCCCTCGTATTTTTATCTGGTCTCCTTGCTTTATTTTTAATATTCTACTCATCATTCAATATTTATATTACAGTCTAATTAGATATTCCCTGACCATGATTCTGCTAAATGTTTATATTTTTTCCGTTTTGTATTTGTTGAGTTTCATTGAGTCCACTGAGTTGCAGAAATGCCACCTTTGACTCTCTCATCAGTGAAGCAGGGTCAGATGGCTTTGCTCTGAAGCAGAGAGTCCCTCCCAGAAGCCCCTGCTTGGTAACAGAACCCAACTGCCCTGCGGATGAACTTCCTTGCTGAACAGCAGGGACTCCAGATCACTGTCAGTGACCTGGGGTCGAGCACCTGGGATCCAGTGCAAGCTCAGCCTCTCAGTTCCACTTGGCAAGCCATGCAGAAGAACAAGGCTGCAATAAAATTACACCGAAAACAACTTGTTCTCTATATTAGGCTATTCTTTTCCCTGAGCACTGGGAGTCTTTCATTATGCTCCCAGTTTACAGGAGGAGCAGATTTCTAACAGAGTTCAGAAGGCTCTACCTCTGTGTTATCTACATTGTTGCAATAGACAAGTTCCCATTCTACCTTCTTCTTCTTCAACTGGCAAGGTCTTTATAAAAATCTGACCCTGGTTTTTTAGTGGAGGTCAATCAGAAAAGGTTTGGTTATGAAATACACACATGTGCACATATAGAAATGTGTAAATATAAGTGAAATAAATGTAATTATGTATGTATAAATATATATGTTGATCTACATATTATGTATATGTATATACACATACACACACTTATAGTTACTGAAAGAAAATGTTTTAACTCAAATAGGAAAGACTTGTCAGAGTAATCAAGGAATTGCCCTGTGTTGCAGAGTCTACCACGTGGACCAAATGGAATGTGTATTTGTCAAAGAAAGACTTTTCTTTTCCCATCAGATGAAGTGATACATGTTTCTTATCCCTGAGAATGTTTTGTCCTCAAGTGAGAGATATAAATCACTAAACCAGAAAACAGAGTTCATCAGAACAACATTCTTCTAATTTATAATCTCCAGGAGAGTCCCTAGTGAATACAATGAACTCCCAAGATTTATTTGTTTTCATTTATAGCATTGCTTCGTTGGCTTTATCTGTGTCATTTACAAAATTAAACAGGCTGTGAAAAAATCATCCAACAGCACAAAGTATGTTTCATGTATTTAACTTGTATCAAAGGACAAGCAATCAAGAACACATCATTCGTGGGAGAGAAATTATGCAGAAAGATAAAACTAAATAAAATTTTCCTTGCATACAAGGCAAATCTCAATTAGAACCATGTACTCTACTCAGATAAATGAGTGTGAAACTGTGCACTGATTTTGACAATATTTGAAATGTATTCCACGTCACTGGCAGAAGTCTTTTCCTGTATTGTTTTCACCAGATCAATTGTTATGCATATGGTTTAGGTATATTATCTGTGCACCGAACACCATGCTGGTAAATTTTTCTATTTCCTATTGGTTTTTTTTTCCCCTAACTCAGACTGTTTCAGGTGTCAATGCTGGTACCTCCTTAGAAAGGAACATGGAACTTAAAGGATATACCTCAGTTTACCCAGTCACTCTTTGAAGAGTTGAGACTAGACTGCAGTATTGTTTGACTCCTAATTCTAGGGCATTTCCATCAAAAACATATTCCTTTAATCAGCTAACAAACAAAGAGAGAGAAACATGTTGGGAAAGAGGCCAGACTGAGCCAGTTTGAGGGGTTCTACACGTGCATTTTGCTAACGACGCTGCTGTCTTTTATTCGTCTGTGAAGCACACACCCCAACACCAGCCAGAGTGAGCGCAGCCACGTGCCCCACAGGAACAGGCGGCCCGAACACGGCCCTCAGAACCGCCACGGCTCGCTCACCCGTGACCACAACACATAATGTTTGGGAGCCTCTTCGGCTACAAAAGGAGCAGAATAAACTGGAGCCAACAGGAGAGTGGGGTGCCGGCCTGGATGAGGACAAAACCGCGCAGATGAGAATCGAGGGGAGCATGTGTGTTTGCTGGCGGACTGGACCCTCTGAAGCCAGTCGAATCGATTTTTCTCTTCCGTCCAGGGCAGCACGTCGGCGTAGCAGGCTTCTTCCCTTTGCGCTGCCCCCACACAGTCCGTTTCCTGTTCTCCTTCGGCTGGATAATCAGGACCAAAGAAACAACCCATTATTCTTGGCATCTTCAAATGTTGGAACACGCCTGCGGTTCAAACAGAACCCACACTTCACGTAAAGTGCCGTCAGTGGGGACTCACTGAAAGTCCTGGGAAAGTACCATCGAGAGGATGCAGTGGGAGGAACCTGCTGAAGGGAAAACACCCACCTTCTCCTGACCTTCTTCACAAAGTAGGAAGTGTAAGTGCAGCAATGACAGTGCGAGGGGAGGCTGCGTGCTGACATCTCGGGGACCTGTGACAGGGCAGGTCATTCCCTGCGCAGCTGCAGAGCTGTGCTCCTTACGGTCGCCCAGGGACACAGGTTGGTGAAGCCGCACCCTCCAATGTTCCTTCCATTCACCACACCCTAGGAGGGCAAAGGAGCTCTCCCGGGTTCGCATTTGGATGCCTCAACTTGGAAGTGACACACATCACTTCCCAGTCATTGGCCAGAATTAGACCCAGGGGTCTGCCCACAGAAGAGAATTGAGGGTACAACCCCACCGGGCATCCAGCAGGCAGTGAGCTGGAAACACGTAGTCAACCATGGTGACAGTCACCACACACACAAAGGACGCATTCCACATCTGAACAATTTCTGATAAAACAAATAGGGGGAACACATGCTCAGATCCTTGGAATGGTGGTAAACACTGAAACAGGAAAGGAGGAGGGTAAGGACAACAGAGTGGTGGATACATTTATAAAACATGTAACACAAAGAAGTGATACTACATGAGCTATAGCTTCACAGGGGGCTTTGGCAGGTGTACCCATGGCAACCACACTGGGCTGAAATCCCAGTGCTTACCTCTGAACCGGCAGGAGGAATGTAAGCCCTACTGAGCACGAATAGCATTCTGGTGCCATGGTTACAGAGAGACTTGCCTGGAGTGACCTTGCAGCTGACCTAGTCCGTCAATCCTCAGGCTGTTACATTATCGAGGTCCCTGCAGATGGCAGTTGAAGAACCCTCCTTTTGGGCTCCACAGAGGAAGACCTCCCCAGTTCATACGATGGAGCCAAATACTAATTCTAGTTACACTAGCTCACCTGATTCCATTCTGTCTTAGCCCCAAAGCATAGTTTGGTTAAGGTACCTAAGAATTTTCCTGGGTAATAGAAATAAATTGGCCATACATATGCCCCCTCTTTTCTCCCCATCATCAGCTCTGAGCTCTGTCTCCTTTTGCCACATGACTTTTGGTCCAGCTCTTACCTACTCTACCTTTAGTCATAGTTTGTTGCATTAATGACCTTCCTTGTGAACTCCAGAGCATTTTCATGGGTCAACTCCCCCACGTTAACAAATCTAGACAAGGTAGACTGTGTGGATGTATTAAAAGCACTCTGAGCCCTGGCCAATTTGGCTCAGCAGTTAGAATATCGGCCCACGGACCAGAGAGTCCTGGGTTCAGTTCCCACTAAGGGCACATACCTTGGTTACAGTTTGTCCCTGGCCCCAGTTGGGGTCGTGTGGGTGGCAACCACTCTCTCACATTGATGTTTCTCTCTCTCTCCCTTTCTCTCCCTCCTGCTATATCTGAAGATAAATAAAAAAAAATATCCTCGGGTAAGAATTAAAAAAACAAACAAAAAACACTCTGAGATTGTGAATTATATTTCAGAATAAATGTTTACTTCCTTCCAATGCTATGGAGCGAATGTTCCACTTTCAGAGGAACCTTTCCTGTCCCTGGAGTTTAGATTCTGCATCTGTGTACAGGGGAACACAAACCAGCAAAGAAGGAACAGTGGTTGGTGGTTGACGTTTTTTCCATAATCTTCTTGTACCTTTATTTTATTTATTTTTTATCCTCACCCGAGGACATTTTGCATTTATCTTCAGGAGAGAGGGAGGAAGAGAGAGAGAGAGAAGCATCGATGTGAGAGAGACACATCGACTGGTTGCCACCCACACGACTCCAACAGGGGCCAGGGACAAACTGCAACCGAGGTACGTGCCCTTAGTGGGAACTGAACCCAGGACTCTCTGGTCCGTGGGCCAGCGCTCTAATTGCTGAGCTAAACTGGCCTGGGTTCCTTGTGCCTTTCACATGCGTTTATACCCTTCCAGGATTCTGCTGGGCGACCTGCAGGCTCCTTATCTCCCCAGCGAAGCACCACCACCAACCTTGAAGGAGCGAAAGGGTCTCTGCTCCCTCCAGGGAAGCAGGTACACACCTTCCGGCCTCTGAGGGTCAGTGGGAAGGATGCGGGGACGGTGGGGCAGGGATGCTGCACCTCTGAGCAGCGGCCTTGGGGAGCAGGATGTGCCCCCCGGTGAGGCCAGCGAGCTCCTCGCTCACTGGAAATCGGAGCTGAAGACTGGCGGGACCCTCCCAGACGGAGGTCACTTCATTAACCCAGCCCACATTACTTGATAACAAGGTCAAGTCCTTCTCACTGGGAAGGATTTTCAATTTATTTCACAGCAAAGATGGCTGGTCTGAGCCTGTATCCTAAGCCGTGAGAGGAAGCTGAGGAGGAGGGGCTACGGCCTGTGTCGGGGCTGTCCCCGCAGTCCTTGGGGTCCGTCTGGCCAGAGCCCCATCCCCTGCTGGGGTCCTACACTGTATCTTTACAAAAAAGGCACCTGGGTATTAAGAGAGGGTTTATGGTCAGCCCTTTCCAGATCTATCTGGGATTTGGAGTGTAGCTTTCAAATAAGGGGAGGAGGGGGTCCTCTCTGTTCTTTGGCTTAGCTTTTAATTCATTTAAAGTGTCTGTGTAATTTACTGCAAAGGAAGTCAGGTGCTTTTCCTGCTCAGAGTTCCTTCTCTCTTGCCCATGTTTTCCTTTCAAGAGCCACGTCCTGTTTGTATCTCAGTCCATTTGACTGAGGAGGGCCCCCTACATCCCTGATGTGGGGAGAGTAAGACACCAGAGCTGAGTCCCTCCGACCACGGGCTGGTTAAGAGGTGCCCACATCAGCCAGGTCAGGCCAGCGGGAACTGTCAGCCTGGGGCTCTTGGGATGCAATCGGGGAGACACTGTCCTTTGGAGGGGCGGGCAGGCTGGCTGAATAGAAGCTCAGACTTCCAGTGGCCATTCTCGCTTTCCTGAGTGTTGGCTTCATTCCTACGCTGACTTCCAACTTGGTAGCAAAGAAAAGGGGTAGAAAAGAGGAAGCAAGGAAGACAGGACAGGAATTCAATGACCCCTGAATTCATCCAGGCCTGGACTAGATTCTCAGATGTCTCAGCTAAATAAGCTCATACGTTCACTTTTGCCCTTCGATGTGTTTGAACTGGATAGCTGTTAACTGCATCAGAAACACACACACACACACACACTAATGTAAAACAAAGCAAAACATCTCTCATTCATTTCCTGGTACAACAGCCTTGGTATTTGGGTCCAGAGAAGTCCAGTGGCCTCCAAATCCACATCTGCAGGATGGCGGGCGGGGGCCGGGAGGAGAGCACTAGGCTTGGAGTTAGCTGGGAAAACAGAACCGGAACCTCAGGCCAGTCACAGCACCCTGGGGCCTGAAGTCCTTCCTTGTAAAGTGACTGAGTCAGACAGAAGGATCAAAGGAGCCCTCGTTGGAGGAAAACAACAGGTTTCTGATGGGCAGCCCGTTTCACAGGTGCTGGGCACCTGGCTCCGTGCTAAATGTTGATTTCATTGCTGTGCCTTTCAATCAGGGTAATGCTGTTCCCCCCCAGCCGAGATACTGATCTCTTGTGCGTGGTTTGGCATTGGTTTGGCATTTGTTTGGCCGAGGCACTTCATTTCGTTTGAGTCCTGAATAAGGCAGAAACAGTGGCAAATTCCTGAAATGGTTATAATCTCCAGCTTGGTGCTGTGTTTTCCTTTCATGCTATAAATCTGCAAGATAACTTAGATGTGTCATCTTCACTCCAGTCTAGTCATTCATATACGTTCTTTCCATTTCATACTGACCTTGGTCTCTCACGTAATTTCATTCATTAATCCTTTTCCCCTGACTCCCACCATCCTCTTTCTTCCAATGCATGCCCTTGACTATATCAAACAGTCTTAAATTATTTTTGCATTTTCCATATTTTCTCCCCCTAAACATCCATAAATCTCACCGTCAACCATTTACCATGTATGAGGCATCCACTAGAGGACAAGTCCCTTGCTGTATCATTTCTTTAATGATATTTCAAACACCCCATGAGATGAGTGTTATCGATTGTGTACCTTTGGCTGAATTATTGAACTTTTCTGGTCCTATTTTCTTCATTTATAAAACAGACACAATTAATATCCGAGCTGAAACCAGAAACCCCGTTTCTATTTCTCCAAACCTGTGCTCTTTCTAATAAAATAGATGGACTCCCTATATATGTTCCACATGCAAAGTCACACGGCCTTCAAAGAAGCCAGCTGCCGTCAGGACTCTGATGAATGGTTCATCAACACCAGGTACCAGCCACCTGGGGACAATCACTCGGCTCTCTGAGAACGCCTTTGTGGGGGGCACTCGGAGAAGACAGAACGAGGAGAAACAAGAGCTCCGGAGGACAGACAGTCAAAGCAAGATTCCCTCCTACAGAAGCAGAAGTTACTGCTCGTCTTTCCACTGTTCCCCTCATGGAAACATTCTATAGTGAATTACACTTTAAGAGGAAAATGAAAACTCTGAGAAACAGAGATGCGCAGATGATGTTTGCTGGAAGTTGTCTGGCTCTAAACCTGGATGGTTCCCTACCTGCAAGGATTATGCTCTGACTTCACAGACAAGCAGCAGGATCCCAGGGGCGGGGCCGAGAGTGCGACCGCCCTTCCCTCCGGGTTCCCATCAGCAATGCCGTGAGGAGGGGCCCACCCTCGCTCCTAGGGCTCTGCAGGTGCAGGTCATTTGTAGAGTAAGGTGGGGAGCTGAGTGGCAGGGCTGAGCAAGGTCAGATGCACACCTGGTGGGTTCACCAGCTCCCCCTCCCATTGCAGTTCACTAGGAAGTGGGGTTCCACAGGCTCTGCTTTGTCACCTGCACCTGCAGCAGATACGGGGGTGAGTGTTTGCCCGGCGAGATCTCGCAGGTGGAAGAAGGGCGTGGCTAGGAAGTGGGCCACGCTGTCATTTGGGGTTGTGGTAGATCAGGCTGCTGTGGAGGTTTCAGGCCACCATGGAAGACGACAGGTCACAGGACTAGATTTTGGGTTCGTTCCAAGGAAACGGAAAAGCCCCAGTACTGGAGGGGGAAAAGCTGATATTTATGGAGTGCCCCAGAGAAATCCTATTTTTAATCTATTCTCCAAAAAGAACTAAGAAACTGAAATTATATAGTTTCTAACAAGGTAACCAGACCAAGGCTGATCATATTCACTCAATAGATGGAGAAGAACAAGAAAAACCACCACACATAAGAATAATCCCCACTACAGAAACTGGTGAGACGTTTTTGTTTTGTTGTTGTTAATCCTCACCCGAGGATATATTTTTCATTGATTTTTAGAGAGAGTGGAGGAAGGGAGGGAGGGAGAGAGAGAATCATCGATGTGAGAGAGACACATCGATGGGCGGTCTCCCACATTCACCCTGACAGGGGCTGGGGATCAAACTTACAACCCAGGTATGTGCCCTTGACCGGGAATCGAACCCATGACCCTTCAGTGCTGGGGCCGATGCTCTAACCACTGAGACTACTGGCCACAGCTGGAGAACTTCTGAAGTGAAAAGGAGGAGTGGGAGGAAGAAAGAACAAAGGGGCACTTGGGAGAGAGAGAAACACAGACACACACAGACACGCTGACACACAGACACGCTGACACATACTCCTGAGGTGGTGGGAGTGAGGAGAAAGTGGGCCCCGGACAGCCAGTGGAGGTGCCCCGGGGCCAATATTGCTCAACCACACATTAGGTCACCTTATCATGGTGTGACAAAGAGGATGCGTGACTGGTGCCACAGGCGTCCCTTTTAAGAAAGAGATCATGCATATCATGTCGTTTAATTCTCGTAACACCCGTGATGAAAGTAAGCCAAGTAAATAAAAATGGGTTCAACCTCTAGGTTTTTTTCAGCCACTGGCTTTTCCGTGCTCAGCGTCCCGGGCAGCAGGTCGTGTCTGTGTGCACAGAGGTATGGTGTTCGCGGTGAACTGCGGCGCCTTCCATGTGTGCGTATGCTCTGAGGAACTTGGCCACCCCTACGCAAACACTCTGGCACGTGTGTTTTGGTGACGCTGTGGTCAGGGTCACCAGATTGCGAAAGAGAAGTGGCGGACCAGAAAGACCAAGGCCCCAACCAGTGGCGCCCCCGCTCCCCAGGTGCGATTCGGAGGAGCTGCTGTCTGGTGGTTGGATCCTAGCAGGAGGGGGGCGGGAGAGGCTGAAATGCCCTCTGGGGAACTCACCTGCTCCAGATCCTCAGGGGACCGCTTGTTCTCTCCTGTGGGATCCTGACACGGCAAGACAAAGAGCTCAGCGGCCGTGGGCAGGCCCGGGAGCACCGCCACCAAGATGTGGGAGCCTGGAACCCCGGTGGCCTGTGGGAGAGACACGGGGAGCGTGTGAGTCCTGCAGGGAAGATGAGGAGAAGGGACCGCGTATTCCGGGGGCTGGGGGGTGAGGGGTGGTAAGAAGACACAGGAGGGCGGGGGTGGGGCGCACCAGCAGGTTCCTGGGTGCACCTGGTAGGAAAGGCCCTGAGAGCCAGCACCGGGCCACAAGCGCCGGCTCCGGCATCAGACAGTCCGAGGTCTGAGCTCAGCTCCATCCCTGTCCAACCTTAAACACTATCTCCCTGGACCTACGTCCCATCAAGTAAAGGGGGGATCCTGGCAGTACTGATAAAAGCGTGGCTTTAAGGGTTAAATAAGTTGCACACAGGCCCCTGTAGTCGTCCCTGGGGATTCAGTTGTCCGCTCTTCCTACAGGGCCCTCCGGTCAGTGGACCGTGCCCGCAAGAAGTCCTGGCTCACTGACGGCATCTGCCCCTCAGCCTCCTCCTCCGTGGTGGCACTGGAGTTACTCCTTCGTCAGCCCATCTCATCTGAGTGGCCAACCTGACGTAACCCTCCGCACCACGTCACAGCCCGGGCAGCTGCTGACTGCTCCACGTCCGGAGCCTGGTGGCCAGCCCCTTCCTGAAGCATGCGGAGCCCCTCGCTCCCCCGCCGAATCCTGCCGGTTACAGCGGCCATGCAGCTTCCTGTCTTAGCTCATCTGCTGTCCTCTGAGCTGCTCTCCCAGGGTTTCCCGAGTCCGCTCTCCAGATGGTTCCATTCCAGCTTCCCTTTCCCGTGGCCAGTCCAGAGGGTCACTCATCTGGTTGTTTTACTAGGACTTCCCACAAATGTCGGAAAAGGACCTTCTGATTTCCAGGAGTAAAATATCAATTCTACATCTGATGACTCGAGGGGTCCCCTCCCTGACACCCTGGCTTGAAGCCGTCCATCTGCCTCTGACACGCCCCTCCCCTTCCCGCGCTGTGTCTACCAGGGTGAGACCCTGGCAAGTCGACGTCCACAGCAACGACCGAGCGGCCCGTCCTGTTTGACACCCCCCGTGACGATCCCAGTCCAGCACTGCACCGTCTCCCCTCCAGTTTCACAACCGTCTCCCCATTTCCAGGACACAGGCTGCTGCCCTCAGTTTCCTTCAGCCCAACTCGGATTGCGGTTTCCTGTCCAAACTGTCGCAATAATTCCCACTTCCAACTGGACTGAATGGACATTCAAAGCCTTCTCGGTACGGCCCCGCCCTTCCTTTCCAAATGAATGAGCCACAGCTCACACGTCTTCTTAGGCTCCGGCCAAATGCAGTCATGTATCATTTCTCAATATTACAGCCTGTTCCTGCAAACGATGTGTGTTTCATCCCCCCCAGAATGTCTTTTCTCTATATTTGCTGCTGAAACCCTACGCTCCTTCATGAGTTTCCCTTCATCCAGTCCACTGGCTTCAATATACTCTTCCCAGATTTCCCAAGTAGGCGATTCATTGCTTCTGAACCCCAACCCCACCCTCATGCCTTTTTCAAAGCAGTAAGACATCCCGCCCTGGCCAGTTTGGCTCAGCGGTTAAAGCGTCGGCCTGCGGTCCGGAGAGACCCGGGTTCGGTTCCCGCTAAGGGCACGTACTTCGGTTGCAGTTTGTCCCCAGCCCTGGTTGGTCGTGCAGGTGGCAGCCACTCGATGTGTTCCTTTCACATCGATGTTTCTCTCTCTCCCTTCCTCTCTCTCCCTCCCACTCTATCTGTACAAAAAATGGAAAAATATCCTCGGGTGAGGATAAAAAAAAAAAAAAAAGTAGTAAGACATCCCATCTGGTTGGGTCTTTGTGTCTAGCACTGTGCTGAGCAACTTGCTGATACTGTGTAATGCAACCTCCCATGACAACTCTCGGATGCAATTACTCCCGTGCCCTCCCTGCTGGTGAAGACACAGCACAGGCTGGAAGCTGCCTTGAGTTCAGCCGTCAGGGTGTTTCTTACGGGTGTTCTCGGGATCAAAGGCCGTGGGAGCGAGGAGACAGAGAGTGCGCGAGGGAGAAGCTGAGCGGCGGTGGAGGCCAGCGGCAGCCTCGGGAGACCTGGCAGGAAGTGAGAATGTGCTTCAGACGTGTCTGGGGTCAGGCCGGCCCTTCTACAGCTGCATCAGCCAGTCACCGGACGCGGGCACGCTGGGAAGGCAGCCGAAGCCTCCACCCTGCGCGGGGACCCGGGCAGTGCATCTCGATTTCTGTCACTGGACAGATGGTAGATGGAGGGACGTCAAACAGTGGCTCACGGCCATCTGGGTGGTGAGTGGTGATGCTCAGCCTGGGACTTTGGTCTGGCCACAACCGGTGCTCCTCAGGTCCCTTCTCCTGACAGTGACCACATAGCATCTCCTGCTACCGCCAACCTCAGACCGGCTTACGGCCCTACTAGATTTTTAACTCAGAGAGTATGTCGAATCCACCCTTCTCATCTTAAAAAATGCTTCATGAACGATATTCAAAGAAAGATTCCAAGGTGAAATGTCAATAGAAAAACCCCATTTGACGAAGAAAAGGCAACTGATTTTTAATCCAATTCTGTCACATCACGAACAAGAAGAGTACAAATAAGTTGACCCCTAAGTTTTATCTCTTGGAGGGTTTGTTAAGGTAAACTTGGCAATGTGGCGTCTCAGGACTTAAGGAAATGACCAAAGACAGGGCTGGGCACCAGGAACCAGGGCCTGGGTCAGCTGCCTCTTAGGACTGGGGAGCCAAGACGTTTCGAAACTCGCTCTGTCCATCACGGCCCGTCCTGAGCTGGGTTCCGGCCTGTCCGTCTGCCCTGGGCTGATGGTGCTGCATGGCAGCCTGGAAATACTGGTGAGCAGTCGTTTCCACAGCTGGGGGCAGGTGGAGGCCCAGCGCATCTGATCCCCAGACGATAGATGTGGAGAGAAATTAGCCTGGAAAACTGGTCACTGCTGAGCTAACGCCCGGTGGATAAATCATGCAGGAACCTTGAGCAGCTGCCTGGGAGATCTATAGGGACCCGGATTCCTATCGCTGCAGACTGAAGAGTGGGTGCAAGATGCCTCTGCTACATAGCAGAGAAACCAGTTTTCACACCAGAGCCGAACGCTCCGGGCGGGGCGGGGGGGCTCATTCCAGTGGGGCCTGCCGTCCAGGAGCTGCAGCCTCTCATGGCTGCGATGCTCGGCCACCCATGATGCCATGGATGCTGCATCCTGACGACAAAGGCGGGAGGGCACATACCCAGAGGCGCCTGAAGGGACCCCTTCTCCACCCCACTGTTCTCCTTAACCCTGTTTCTCTGCATAATAAGGCAAATGATGGAAGAGGAGCGGAGTGGTTATAAATCCACGACATCAAGACTCAAACAAACCTTGATGTCTGACTTCTGGGCCTGAATTTTCACTGTATGACCTTGGACAAGTTACCTGTCTCCAAGTCCAGTTTTCTCACCTGTAAAATAGGACTGATCATACTGGCTTGTTTTTTATTGATGAAATGTGCTATAATTGCAAAGTACTGAGAAGACTTTTGGAATATTGTTAAGTGCTGAGTAAAAATCAACCAAAACAATGGCATGAACGGAGAAAAGGCCAGCTCTCTCCTAAAAGTGTGGGCGCAGGAGCTATCTGAATGCCTTTATCCTGCATCGCGTTGTGGCATGAGGCACAATGTACTGGGTGCAGGGAACAATGTACAAAAACCCCTACCCTGACTTTCCTTTGGGGCTAAGAATATACCCTTGGATAACGCCTCTCCTCTGACTTTTCCAGGTTTGTGCAATGAATCCAAGCAGCTCCATGAGCAGACATCCCTGCTCTGATCATCAATGGAAATGGAGCACACGCAGGGCAATGTGTCTAAAAGAGTCTTCTCGAAATGTCAGTGGCATTTGCTCAGGGAGGGATAAATTACAGCACCTGGTTATTTTCCCAGGAACCCCAGGAGCTATGTTTCATAGGTTAGAACCCAAACATTGGACTAGGGCCTTCAATTCAACGTTGTACCTTCATCACTTATTAGCTTCAAGGCACTGGGCAAGACACTTAACTTCTCTGAACCACAGCTGCTCAATCTGCAGAATGGGGACAATAATACCTGACTGTCAGGGCCCTTATAGGCAGCAGATGCCTTCCAAAGTGCTGGACACAGGAGGACGACAACAGTCACATTTTGAGTGCTCACTGTGTGGCTGTGCTCACTGTTCATGGAGCTGGAACCCAGGGCCACTCTTCCTAATTGGGCTCACACTGTGTCTCTCAGTTTTAAGACACATAAAATCCGCAGCAGATTTTATACTTACTAATGGCTCAGCATGAACTCTGCTCTATGACTGTCACAGACTGCCACGCTCTTCTCAAAGTGGAATTAAGGACCACATGTTTGCTGAGAGTTTCACTGCCCTCAAAGCATCTTTGATGCGCCTGCAAGCGTGGAGCTCAGCCACACAGATGCCAGACAGGTCGCCCAGGGCTCCGGCTCTTTCCTGACGTTTCTTTGCACAAGGATCCCCTCACCACGGAGCAATGTGAGGACAGAGCGGAAATGCACCTGGGCAAGAGAAGGAACCGTGTACACTCACTTCCACCAGGGACTTCTTGATGACTCGGCTGATGTCCCTCCTCCACTCAGGGATGTCCGGGTTGTAGTCGTCCAGGTTGGGGGAAAAGGACAGGCGCAGAGATCGAAATTCCTCTGGGGATAGAAGAGTAGGGGGATCGCTCTAAGTCAAATGGTTCTCTCAAGAAGTCTGCATACTTTGTATTTTATGCAAAGCCCCAAGGGAAGGTCCTTTTCCTCCACATTCACCAAAAAGACCCGACTAGAAAGCAAGTTCAATATCCCACCCCTGGTCTCTCCCAGCTCCTCATTTTCCAGACCCAAACCCCAGGCTCTGGCCCCTGCCTAGCTCCGCAGACTTTGTCCATTGTCCCAGTTCCAGACTCTGCACCTTTGACACAAAGTGACCTGGAGCACCCCAAATGCACTCATGTTCATGACTCTGGGTCTGTGCACACATCAGCCCTTGCCCGGAGTGCCCCATCCTTCCCACCTGCCAAGCATACAACAGTCAAGCTCCCGCTAGAGCACTTCCTGAACGAAGACCCTCTCCCACCACGCGTTCACTTTCTCGCTTATGGCCCAACTCTATTTTGCACATACTTTCATCGTTATTACAGGACTGCACAATAATTATTATTATATCGTTACATAATTATCATTAGAATTATGGTTATTCTGTTGCTATTTTGCGTTTGCATGAAAATTCTATGTAATGGAATTCAAAGCTCCTTAGTTCCAGGGTTTTGTTAGTTGTGGGTCCCTGAGCTCCTCCCTGTCCTCCAGGAAGTAGGCGGAATTACAAAAGCAAGGATTTTACGAGGAGGCTCATCGATGAGAGAATTGGGGAGAAAGCCAGTGGAGCTCGGAGCACCTGCCGACCGTGATGCATACACGACCTCTTGGTGGGAGAGGGGAGAGGGGCGGGCGGCTGCTTGGCGGTGGGTGAGGTTCAGAAAGACTGCTGGGGAGCCTTCCAGCCAAAGTCATCCGGAGCCCCCTGTTGCAGGGATGGATCTGCCCTAGTATTCTTGTCTCACTCCGTCACTGGCTGGCATCAGCCCCAGGAAGGCGCGGCCTTGGCCGGAGGATGGTGCTGGGTTTCAGAGCTCAGACCGGCATCTTAGCTCAGCTTTGGGCACGTGGCTCCGTGCTGCATTTAGAGTATGATTTGGATTCTTCCCACGGCCTCATGGTCTCACACATCCCAGGGCTGACTTTCTCTGCTGCCTCCCGCCCTGCGGGCTTCCCCACGCCAGGACCGTCCTTCCCGGGTTCCTCCACCCTCCACTCTCCCTCCCACCTGGGCGTGTGTTCCACATGCCCTGGTCACAGCGTTCTCATCCGTCTTATCACCCAGTCTCTCCTGGGAGAACCCTTCCCCCCAGCAACTCCGGATCCTCCCTTTCACCAACTCAAACACCCTTCCTCATATGACCCCATTTGTCCTTTCCTGTCTCTTGCTACTTCAACCGTTTTGATTGTATTGTCTGTCTCCCGCGGAATATGAGCTCAGTGAGGAAAGGCACTGTGTCCCTGGCCTCCCCGTGAAGCAGGACCCGATTCCTGGCGGCTTTGCAATTCCTAACTGTAGTCATCTAATGAACACCTTTCTTGCTGAATAAATAAAAGCATAAATTACAGTGCAGACGCTCGGTAAGTTCTGCATTTACTATTTAACAAAGGTTTATTTCTTGTCCTAAGCAGGTCCTTGTGTTTCAGTGGGGGTTCGGCAACGTCAGGGATGCTGCTTACACATTCGGGGAACACAAAGCCTGCCTGCATCCCCCCGCGATGCTAAAGATGCATCGGACACAGGCACTGGTGCCTCTTACATTGTGAGGTGTGTGTGCCTGGCAGTGAGCCCAGTCCAGAGCGGGACTACGTTATGAGTCACTGGTCACCAGTGTGAATACGGCCACTTCAGTTCTGGTGGAGAATAATGAAATGCATACTAATTAGTAGCCTGGTCAAAGGCAGCACCACAAAATCACCCACTGAGTCTAAACTTTTCACTTCAAAGATATGTTTATTCCGTTTCCACATTTCCAGAACCTCTTATCGAACTGTAGAAACTTCATCTAAAAGGGAAGATGTTTATCTTCATAAAAGGACACAAATGAGATGATGATAAAGCTCCCTCTGTAATTACTTAGCATGCTAAACAGCAGGACAGGCAGGGAGGGCGGCTGAGACATGTTCTACTTAAGTTTATTCAACATGATGTATATGGGAGGAATGAGAGGGTACATACCAATAATATACACATGTGCATACACATACACACACATGCATGCACATGCATGCACCTACACATGCATACAACACATGCACACAAATACACATGCACACACATGTGTGCACACATACATGCACACACACATACATAGTAGCTTCTGAGAGAGGAGTTTTGCACATTCACATTTTCTTTTTTGTATTTGAAAAAAAAGTTAACCTGTGCCCTGATTAAGCAAATTAAGGGAAATAATGCCAAGGATATATTCTTTCCAAGGATGTATGGCTTTGCGGAGTAATCTCTCCTCTGTCAACTTCCCAAATAGGAATTCCCCTCCGTCTCAACAGGACGGCCTCATGCTCCCCCAATGTGACGCCATTACACAGGTTTCTCCTGAGCAGAGGTCCCTGACCTCCTTTCCAGAGAGCACCCACTGTGGAAAACCTGCGACTGTAAATGCTTTCTCTGCCCTGTGAGAGGGAAATCCTCTATCATCTAGGATGGGCCTGGGAGTCATCCCTGCGAAACGTAATCACCAAGAAAAATAGGACCCCCAGCAAACACTGATGTCCTGATTGCACTGATAACCCCTTCACCCCCAAAGTCCTCCAGCGCCTTCCACTAGCTCCTCCCAGAGTGTAAGCATCTCCAGCCTTGGTTCCAGTGCAGTCCAGTCTGGCCTGGCTCCTTGCTGCACGTGCCTTCAACATGTCACACGTGTCATTAACGCGCTCTAGTCACAAATGCGGGACTCTGGACAACTGAAGGCAAATGACTCCTCTGACTGAAGACAAATGAAGGATGTGTCACGGTTCAGGGATGTGTTTAGAGGAGGGGGAACCTCTTCCCCTGCTCAAGCTTTTAATGCAGAGGCTTTTCAAAAATGAAGATAACCCGTGACGGGGTGACTCTCTTTTGGATGATGCTTCTCAAGAAGTTTGAGGAAGAGGAAAAACAAAGGGTGGAAAGGGGTTGGAAACACTCCCTCTGGATCCAGTCTTAGGCCCTGTTTATTATACTTATCTCCCATTTTCTCATTTGTAAAACAAGGATAATCACAGCATGTTTCTCCTAAGTCTATCTCATCAGTGTTCAGTAAAACAAATCATGTATACCAAGCGCTTAGAACAGATGCCGGTAAGGGTTCCATCAATGCTGATTACTAGCACCACCATCACCGTTATAACTGGATCTGCCATTATAATTGGAACAGCAGAGTATGTTAAGCCAGTAAGTCTGAAACCATTGCAATTAACCTAGTTATTAATAACAGGAGAGGAGCAAAGGGAAGGCCACGTATTGTAAGCATGTCATCTGTGCAGCTTTACCAGGGCACTACAATTTTACACTCCCCAGAGGTCCGACAGAAAGGAGACAGAGGCACGCCCAGTAGAGTTGGGGTGACACAGGGAAGGTGCCTGCCTGTCAATCACATCTGGGAACAGGTCACTGGCCAGTATGGGCATGGCCACTGCAAGGGTGTGAAATCTGGGACACTAATTCCCTAAACAAAGGAGTTTACCCTTTTGGCTGCCCTTGGGACCCCCATTGCAGGGGGCACACTCCCTCGGCTCCCCTGCATCCGCGCATGGCCGTGTGGACCCCCACAGTGGACTACTGGCCTGCAGCCTGATGCTGAGCTAGACCCAGCTGCAGCATGGGACAGAAACTCTGGTCACTGGCTCTGCTTTTAGCTCTGCTGAAACCCCAGCTGCACTTCTCTCCACGACTGGAATGGGACGTTGGAAACCTAGGGATATAATTCTATGCAAACAAAAATCACTCCTCCTCTGGTGCGAGTCTCAGAAAATTATTTTTCTCAAGGTATTGTAAGGATTCCGCCCCTAGCACGCAGTGGGGAAAGGGATACCCCGATTTCCCTAACAACAACTTCCCATTTCGAGGCCACAATTTCCTATCTGTAAAGTGACTAGTTGGACCACAGAAGTCCCCAAACCATCCAGGCCTAAAGCTCTCTCTGTCGTTCTAATGAGAAAATCGCTGATACACTTATCCAAAGGGACATCTGTGGGACAAGGGGGTCAGTGTCCCTTAGCAACACTTGTGACATCCAGGGAGGCGAGAGGGGAAAAGAGCATCAGATGGGAAAGAGACGAGGGCAGCTAAGTGGGGTAATCTGAGTGCATGGGCCCAGGTAGACGGCCTGTGTTGGAAGCCTGGTTACACCACTTACTAGAGCAGGCAAGTTGCTTACCCTCTGAGAAAACGAGAACGCTGACACCTACCCTATACTAGGGTTGCTATGAGGATTCAATTGCATCCCACGGCATAGAAAGGACTAGAGAAGGAAAAAGAAGCAAAAAGTGTCCTCTTTTTTGGCGCTCTGGCTAGGAGGTGGCCTCCCTGAGGGGACCTTGTGAGGAAATTCCCAGCCCTGGTTACTTTCACTTACTATTTGGGCTTATCAAGCTTCCTAGGGGAGAAAAGAGGGGGAAATATTATGAAATCTAACACCCAGCTATGCAAGGAATTTCATCCTCAGATGTTCAGAGTTGCTTCTAAATTACTTTCTGAATTTGAAGGTTAAGTGGGTAAGATGAGAAATGAAAAACAGAACCTGCACCATAATCAATTAATTTTGAAACTGGGACATTTGATATCATCTGAATGACAAACTGGTATCTGCCTACCTCTCTCTCTTTCCATATCTATCTATCTATCTATCTATCTATCATCATCATCTATCATTATCAATCATCTATCACCTATCTATATCTATCATCTATCTATCTATCTAATCATCTATCTACCTATCATCTATCACCTATCACCTATCTATATTTATCATCTATCTATCTATCTATCATCTATCACCTATCATCTATCTATATCTATCATCTACCTATCATCTATCTGTCTATCTATCATCAATCATCTATCACCTATCTACATCTATATATCATCTATCTATCTATCTATCATCTCATTCTCCCTCTCTCCTTTCTTCCTCCCTTTTGTACTTTCTTGGCATAGCATTTCCTTTATCCTCTTTTAAATGCTTTTTTTGTATTTTAATTTTCCATAATGCATATGTACCATTTCCATATTAACAATAAAAGCTCAAATTTTTATCATGCACTAACAGCACTTAGTGCGTCCATCTGAATATCCTTCAATGCAGAAAAAATTTCCCCAAATGAGATCGCTTAATAAACAATTCTACCTTTCCATTTCAGTAATTTTCATGCCATCTAATACTCAACCATATTCAACCTCCGCAGTGGATTATAAAATTGCTCTGTCTATGACTCGTTCGAACCAATAGGCAGCCTGTGACAATGCATGGCATCTGCCTGCTACGGCCCCTCCATCTCTGTTAATCCAGCAGAATTTTTTTATGACACAGATCTGTGTCAAGGTTTGCAGGGTATTTAGAAATTGGCAGATTCCTTTTCATAATCAAGACTTTTAAAGCTGAACTTTATAAAGAGCCTGAATATTAATTCTCTTCTATGACCGGTTTTAGCTATTCAAATGCCATCAACATGCCACATGGAATGAAGGAGCCTTCCCTGTGATGACACTCACTCTACCTGCCTACGGCGAGTGAGCACACGGTCTCTCTACGCGCAACAGAGCCACACTGAGAAACAGAACCAGAAACCCTCTGAGGTCTCGTAACTCCCATTTTGCTGGTGAACCACATCTTCCCTAAGGAGGGGACCAGACCCGACTCCGCTCTTCCTCCACGTCTGTCCTCTGTGCTCTGGCCAGAGGCCGTCACCCAGCTGGCCTCTTCCCCGGGGAACCCAGCAACCTCTGAGCAGGAGCACGGCCGTGGACCAATGACGATGAAGGGCACTCACCATACACCGCGATGGTCTTGGTGTCCTGCAGGATGGCGTTGCCAGCGGAGACCTGCACTGTGATGGTGTTCATCCCTTCGGCCGTGAACTTGAACGATATGCTGCCCTCCAAGGTGATCAAGGGCTGAAATAACAAGGGCACAGAGTGAGGGGACAGCCCTTCGCTGACAGACGAGGCCTTGCTAGCTCTGAGCAACCAGCAAGCTACTTAAATCAGCGAGGCTCTTTCGGGTGACGACGGACTCCAATACACTTCCCGTCATCCCAGCCCAGGCCAGAATGGGGCTGCTGGAGCCGCGACCCCCAGAGGCTCTGCCCGTCCCTGTGAACATGACACGTCTCTTCTGGTACTGACGGAGGGCCCGGAGGCTGGCGGGTCTTGCTTGCTGGGGGGTATATGTCTCCTTCTGGATACCCTGCTCGTATCCAGCAGATCCTTTAATCCAAGGAAACATTCAAGTCAGACCAAAACAGGGGGCCCACATGAATCCAGATTTAAGCAGTAGTCACTGAGAGTCTACCACCTGTCGACTGTTTATCTCCAGGACATACTGTTCATGATAAATGTCAACAGAACACAGCAGCCATGAACACCAAACCCTCAGCAGCCAGACAGGGGTGGCCTGGCTTCCTCCGGGAAGCAGCTGCTATGGAAACCAGCACTAATTGGACAGTGGTTTGAGGACTCAGGCAAATAAATAAATAAAATGAGCTGGAGCGCTGCCTGAACTCCAGCTGGAGGCCGGGGTCCTGGAGGGAAAGATTATTAGCCTACTGACCTCCCTCCACTCACTCCCGGCGATCGTTTCTCTCCTGTGTTTTAATTAATTTTAAAATCAAAATTCATCGAATTCCCTGTGTGGCAGAGGGAAGACTAAAGCCAGCATGAGAAGTCTGCTCAGCATGACCTGTTGAAAATTCGGTTTTCTGCTAGAAGGTAAATAACAGGAGACACAGAATCAAGTTGTTGAGGACTTTCACTTTCTGGTACTAGCTTTCGGGCAAAGAGCATAGATTTCTGCTCTGCTACTGTGGGTCCTGGGCCCAATTTGGGCTGGATTCGCCTGCATAGTTTCAGAAGTAAAAAAAAAAAATGGGCGGGGGGCTTTTTTCCCCCAGCTGGGTTATATATATCGGTGGAGCCTCCTTCCACCGTCTGGCTGCAGCTGGGATAGGAGCAGGGGGACTCTCACTGGCCGGTGCAAAATGATGTCTCCAGTCAAAGCCAACATTCAGCTCTGGGGTAGAAAAATATTTGCACTGGAACCAAATGAATGCATTAGAACAGTGAAGTCATCCGGCGGAAGCGACTCTGCTGGAAGAAGAGGGGGCTCCCCAGGCCAGGGCAGTCTGTCCAGTGCCTGCGGCCTCATCCTCCTGCCTACACTTGGAAGCAAATGTTAGTTTCTGCGAGTGGAGGGCGTTCGAATCAGAAACAGAGCGCGCCGCCGGTGTGAGGAGAAGACCAATCGCTGCAGGCGTCAGGGGGCCTTGGGTCCCCCGCGTGGAGCGGCTGAATTAGGCCGGAACAGGCCACCATCCTCCTCGTCCTCACTTTCTTGCTCTGCAGAATGAAGGACTCAGAGGAAATGAGGTTAAGGTCTCTCCTGGTTTTCAAAGGGTCACGAGGAAATGTTTTGGGAAAACATCAAGGGTAAAGATGACCTAAAACAGGGGCGTGCCTGAGGCCGGTGAGGAGGCCGTTTGGGGGCTGGACGGTGTGGCCTCTACTGCTTTGGCCTGGCCCGCATCCCTTGTCTTTTCTTTTGGGGGGCCGATCGCTCCCTTGTCTTAGCCCACGTGGTTCTCAGGAGGCTGACGGCAACACCCCTCTTTCCACCCAGCACTGTGAGCAAGGCCTGGCCGATCCTAGGATCTGTGCTAGGACTTTGGGGAAAGGGTTTGTTTTCTCTGCCGGGCTGTGAGGGTGGCGGCCTGGGCTGTGGCTAAGGGTCACTCAAAGGAATGTCCACCTGGAGGAAGGACAGCAGCACAGAGGGCGGCAGAGGCAAGAAGTAGGGGCGGAGGGGAGGGAAAGGGACAGATGCAGGCAGAGATACGGGGTGCACTGAGCGCGCCCCGCGGCCAGGACCCCAGGCCCGCGAGCGCCCGACGCCACCTCCGCCCCTTCCGCTCCAGCCAGTTCGGGGTGAGCTGCCCCCACCCCCACGCGTTTCTCCAGCGCCACCCACCTCCGTGTTGTTGCCGTACCACCACACGTAGGTGAGGGTGCCCACTTGGCTGGGCCACAGCACCGCCGTCGCGTTGACCTCTTTGTTCTTCGTGGTGACAAAGGGAAGAGACAGGTGCACATGCTCCAGGGGACCTGCGGCGCGAAGGAGAGGGGGGCTCAGCGGGAAGGGCTCGGGCTCGAAGAGGGGACTCTGAGTCCTCGGGGGAGCCTCCCGGACTGGGGACTTCCCGAGAAGATCCGCTCCCCCGCCTCGGAGGAAGGGATGCAGGGATACAGTGAACAACTGCGTCTCAGCGTTTCCACTTGCCGACGCTCTTCCTGAAACCCGAGCTAGGTGTGTGGATGCCTGGAAACTACAAGTAACGTGGGAAGTCCTGAAATGAACAGGCGCGGTATGAGATGCCCCCGGGAAACACCGCCTCTCCGAGAGGTTCTGCCCTTGCTGGCACACCCGGACTGCGAAAAACCTCACAGAGGCCGCGTTGGGTGGTAAGAGAGGGAGGAATCATCATTCTTTATAATTTACTGGATCTTAGAGGTGTGTGTGTGTGTGTGTGTGTGTGTGCGCGTGCGCTGGTCTGTAAAGCACCTGGTCAGCATGGAGCAAACTGTGCCTGGCGTTGTTAACGTGCCCAGGACACCGAATGCAGGAGTGGGTGGAGGGCACTGTGGTTCTCGCTGTGGTTCTCGTGTCGCAGGATGTCCTCCACGGAACAAAGGACCATGCAATCTGCTGGGGCCCATGCGACCAGAATCCTTCATCAGGTGAACAAGTCCACTAAGATAGGAATATCCTCCTCACGGAGAACCACTAGGACCTTCCCTATGCCCTGACCTTCTCCTTGAGTCCCTGTTCTCGGGAAAATGCAGTTTCCTCTGAGGATCATGACAGAAATCGATCGTCCCCACCATGTTCCATGAGGCGGAGAAGAAAGAGGTACCTCGGGCCTCTCCACCTGCTTGGTCCCTGCCTCTTCGGCCACTTGACCCGTACCTGTGTTTCCTGGGACACTGGCTCTGGCCTTTCCTCCCTCCATGTGTTCTTCTGCTGAGTAATGCCATCCACACCCTGACCACCAACCATCAGCTACAAGGGAGGGTTCCAGAGCCATCTTCCGACTGAGACTCAATCAGCAGCCAAGTGGCTCGGGCAAACCCGTGGTCCTCCTCGTTCTGTATTCCCCAGTGGTTGATGAGTCAAGGCAGTGTTCATCCAGGGAAGCAACCCAGAAGCGGAAAGTCCATCTAGATTGCTGATTTCTTACCACCCACAACCGTTTAGACAACCACCGAGCTGGTTTCATAAATATCTGTCAGAGTGCTTCCCGCCCAGTTCCATGCTGCCCTCGTCACATCCGCCCATCCCCCTCGCCTGGACTCTCTTACCATGTCCCTGCCTCTGACCTAGCCCTACCTGATCCACTTGCTGCTCTGCCTGTTCAGTACCCGCCTCTATACACAAGCTGCACCTAGGGCCAGGTGTCCCCATGCCTAGAATGACAGATACGGTCCGGGGCGAGGGTTCAGCAAGCATGCGGACCTTGGGGGGCAGGTGGCCCTCCACGCTTCAGGAGCAGGAATAAAGCCCAACCAGCTGCACTGCAGAGATGGAGGGAAGGGGTGGGAACCAGGGAGATCTAAGGCATTCAGGACACATGGCATGCCGGGCTTACAGGCCCTGAAACGTGTGTGTGTTTGTGTGACTTCACTCTTGCATATATATACATAATATATACATATATTCACACAACGCATGGTGATGACTATGTACCTGCTCACTCTCCGAATGGTTCTGAGAGCGATTTTCCTAGAAAGCCAAATTGATCACGCTAGTCACCTGCTCAAAATTAAAATCGCCGTTACCTAATTATAGTAATGATGACAGCTAACACATATCGATCTATCATTGTGAGACAGAGAACACAGGCCACAAACTTTTGGAGGATAGGAGCCCTTCACATTCCCCTTTGTTCACAAGGCTCACACTTTCCAAGCCATAGCCGATGAGCGAGAATTTGCAGGGAACGACAGCATTTCCTGGCTCTGCTTTTGTCCACGCTTCTCTCGCTTAATACAATTTGAGGCTCCATGACCAGCATACAGAAGAGAATTGATTTCCTGGCTTATAAGCCATATGATAAAAAGCAGCAGGTCACTGTCAGAATGATCAGCGTGGAGACAGAGGGCGACGTTACTGAGTGATGGGTGTGCACCTCTCTTCTGCTAATGATGTCTGTTCTCCCGCATCCTCACAGCCACCGTACGGAGCAGGCACACCCTCAGCCGCATCTGAGATGAACAGGAAGGTGGCCTCCCTCAGTCCCTGGGTGTGAACTAAAGCAGTCTGATTTCAGAGCCCATGCTCTAGCCCGCTGAAAAGGCTCGATAAGACTTTCCCATTTTAACAAAAGAGCTACGAAGGGTCACTACTTACTGATGATCTCAGTATGATCCCGGCACTGGAAAATGAACTTGACACATGGTGTCATAGATTGCATGGCTCCTGCCAGTCCCCTGCTTGCTCCAGACGGCCATGTCCGGCCCCACCCTAAGGCCTTGGCTTTGACACCTTTCGTAGGGCACTATCCAACCTCAAGTCTCAGTTCCAGGGTCCCCTCTTGTGTGACGGTCCCCCTGACTCCCTGGGTCTGAGTTAAACAAATCCATTAGAATACAACAACTGGACCAGCTCTGTTAGTTCCATTCTAAAAGGGTTCATTTTCTTGGTCTCTGTCACACATGAGCTTTTAACAACCTTTTAAAGTCGGAACATCAAAATAAGGATGATGCCTAGGTGTCCTGTTAATGACAAAATGGAAACTTGCTCCTGAAATATGGTCATTCATTCATTTCAATAAGTGTTTTTTCCTGTTAATTCTCACCAGAGGTTATTTTTTCCCATTGATTTTCAGAGAGTGGAAGGGAGGGGGGGAGAGAAAAGAAATAGCAGGAATAGATAGAACCTGCAACCCTTTGGTGCACGGGCTGTTCTGACGGCTGAGCCCCACTGGCCAGGGCCATTTCAATAGCTTGTGGGTGCTACTACATGTTGGGCACTCTTCTAGGAGCTGGGACACGTGGCACTAGGCAGAGCTCAGTATTCTCGAGGGAGGCAGGCATGGGCTCGGTGAGAGAGTGCTATTTTTTTGACAGGCTGGTCAAGGCAAGTCTCTCAGAAGAAAGGACACTTGAGCACTGGCCTGAATAAATATAGGAGGTCGCAGAGTGTCTGTCTGCGAGGCTGCGGTGAGGGCACAGCGAGTGCACAGACCCTGAGCAACGGGTGTGCGCTCGATGTCCCAGGAGCGGCGCGAGTGGGCTCCGGTGCAGAGAGGGCGGACGGACGGGAAGCCTGCGAGGTCCCAGAGGCATTCAGGACATGCAGCGCGTCGGCCTCGGAGGCCCTGCAGTATGCATATGTGTGTTTGCATGAGCTCGTCCCTGCCTGTTTATACATTATACATTCATACATACGTGTGGGATTTATCTTTCAGAGTCCCACACCCTCTTGTATTCATTTACTTTCACGTGTTCAATATACCTACTTCCTGCTCCCCAAAGCCTCCCCTTTCAGCACCTCTTTCCTGCACAGAGGGCACGGTCTGCCCTGACAGAGCTACCCACGGACAGACGTGAACCTCCAGCCTCTGGAGACCCCAGCTGGCTTGCTGCACCAGACCAGAGCTGAACAAGCTGGCAGATGCTTCTCCATCAGACAGGTGCCTGCAGTGCCCGAAAGGAACAGCAGGTGGCACTGCATCACTCCATAAGAATCTTCCTGGCAAGGTGGCTGAGGGGACTGCAGAATTACTTGTGGGAGTGAGGCTTCCGCGGCTCTTTTCTTGTTTAGCGCCCCCTGTGCAGCAGGAAACAGCTGATGTTTGTGAGACTGGACATCGTGTGTGTGTGCGCGCGCGCACACACAGGCACCAATTGTTCTCGAGACCTCCACTGACCAGCATGTTAAATATTGTGTGTGCATCATCTTGCTGTTTGTCTGAGATGTTTACAAACCCACTAGAAGAAAAGAAAGTCTAAAGATGAGATCCTAAAACAGATCTCCTTAAACGTCAGTGTGCATGGGCCCCCCCCTAGGCTGTTCAAAGCGATCCTGGTGCCCCACGCCCAGGGGTTCTAATTCAGTGGGTCTGGGATGGCCCCCGACACTACATTTCTGTTATGTAGTCTTTGTTATGTAATTAAACCACACTTTACAAAACCCAAGCATGACATTTTCCGGTCAACATAATGACTGTGGAAAAGTTGCAGAGCTACACAGGATCTCAGGAAACTGTTCACTTGACCCCAAGTAAGATGGGGACAGAGAGATATCTGTGAAGGACACCTTTGGAAGGAGGCAGCTGAGAGAGGTGTGGGAAGGACTAGGAAATCCACTTCATTTTTTTTTTTACCTTCCATTCTGCAAATTTGCAGTTTTTAGTGATTTTTTTCCCCCTACAAGACTGGCTTAGATAGGGGAGCTCACTGAGCAGAAATCTGCACATCCGCTAAATTCTCTGTCCAAGGCAACCCTGGCTGCACCATGAGCGTGTGTGGGGGTCTCATTAGTTTGCAAACAAGCAGAGCACAGTGAATACTTTCCCCAAGGAGTGTCTACCTGTCGGGCTACCACAGACGGCCCAGCCCTACCCCCTCCTAGAAACGTTACAGCAGGAATATCATCTCCATTTGTTTCTGATGATCTTTGCAAACTCCTATCATGAAGCCTCTGATTTGGAATCAAATCACCTTTCTGATCTGGAAAGTGTAGGGGGTGTGTTCAAGACAGGCAGTGGGGGAGAGTCCCAGGCAGAGGGGAGGGCGTTGGGTCGCGGGGCAGAGGCGGCCTGGCCAGCTGAGCTAAGCCCTGCTGCTCAGACCCACTACGCACCTGTGCCGCGCTGCTCCGAGACAGTGGGGACTCAGGTTTTACTGGTGGGCAGGGCACAGCACATCACGCTCCCTGAACCTTTCAGAAACAAAGTGCGCATTCCTCACGGGACAGAAAACTCTGGGCTCGGAGAAGTGGGGTGGCCGGGCCAGGAGCTCAGGACAGCCTCAGGGCCTCCGACTCCCGCCTCGGCCCAGAGCTCAGTTGTTTTCTCTACATGCCACCCACCCACCCTGCCGCTCTGGCACTGACAACTTCCATGATGCCCTTCAGGTTGAGGTTTGGGGAGGTATGAATCAATTACGGTCTTGTGCTGACTTCCTGTTGGTTTAAAAGAGGGTAGATTATCCTAAGTGAAGCAAGCCAATCAGAGCCGCATATCACATGATCTCACTTATTTGTGGAACATAATGAACAAAATAAGCTGATGAACAAAATGGACCCAGAGACCTAGAAAGGAGCACAGTTCAGACCGACAAACCTCAGAGGATGGGGATGGGGGGAGAAGAGACAAACCAAAGAACTTACATTCACATATGTGTAACCAATGGACATAGACGACAGTGCGGGGGGGGAGGGGACGGCGGGGGGGGGGAGGGCGGGGGGGAGAGCCAGAGGAGGGTGTCAATGGGGGGGAAAGAGAAACATTTGTAACAAAAATAAATTAATTAAATACTTCATAAGTAAGTAAATAAATAATAAAAAAGCAATGGAAAAAATATCTTCAGGTGAAGATTTAAAATAATAATAAAAGATAAATAAAAGATCGTAGAAGGCGGGGCCCTTCTCCCCTTCTCTTCTCCATCGGAAAGGGCCGTGCACCTGTCAGGGCGCAGGTGCGGGGCTAATCGCAGGGTGCCCTGTGCTTGGCGACACACGGTGGGGCCTTTCCTTAAAGGCGCTCAAGAAGGTGCTGAAAACGCTCCGGACGTGCGTTTTGGATGTACGTGAACCAGTGAAAGTTTTACAATAACCCTCTTGAATCAGTTAGTACAAAAGAGTTCATTTCTGCTCCCAAGGCCAGGTTCAGGAAGGGGTTGCGTTATATGAAGCGTGCTAATCCAACCGCTGAACCCTAAATGAGTCTAACAAAATTAAAATCAGAACACAAGCCTTCCCATTACAAACCATCTCCCACCACGGTTACGGGCAAAGCCTGTAGCTGCTCAGCTAGGCGGAGACAGAAACAAAAAGCAAGTGAAGCTCATTTCTTTTACAAGTCGTGGCTTCAGCAACCTTGAATTTGACAGAGGTGAGCTCTGTGCTGTTTTTCCTCCTCAGGATTTAGTCATCCTGGGGGAGGGCTGAGGGAGGGAGGAACCCCTCAGGGACAGGATCATTTTTAGGGGTGAAAAATAACCCACAGAGCAACTAGGAAGGCAAACTGTGGGTGACTCTATGCGTGACCCTGAGAAATGAAGACAAAAAGACACTGCTGAGGTTTAAATCAGTATTCACACATGCTTAGGTATGGCGGCTGTTTAATCCATCTATGGGATATAGAATAAAACTACTGGAGTTCTCCAGGAGAGCAGGTCTCGAACAAAACCCCCTTTCAGAACTGGGGTGATGACAGGCTTTGAGGCCGGCGCCCATTCTCTGCGAATGTGCTGTCACTGGTTGCAAGTTATTTCAATAACCGAGGTTTGTGATGTCTGTCTGAAAGTTTTATGATCATCCCTAGGATGTCCTCACCTGAGATGGTTTCTCGGTAAGAGACAACTCCAGAAAGTCTATACCCGATGGTGTAGGGTTGGCAGCGCAGGAAGGGAGCCCATGGAATGTGTCTTGAACCTACGGAGCTGTTGAGCAAACGCACTGCTTCTAACTTTATGTTCACGTTGCGTCAGGATGAGCTGCAAACTCGTGGAAGGGGGTAGAGGCTGATGGAGACTTGCTTCCTTTAACCACAAGCCACTGTTGAGAGTGACGACAGCCTTAATGACCAAGGGCTGGGGTTCGAGATAGGAGGGCCCAGGTCTGAACCCTGGCTCTGCCACGTCACAGGTTATTTAAGCGCTTGGGACCTCGCTATTCTTTGAAAGTAGGGTTTCCGATTATACTTGCTGCACAGGGCTGTTTTGAGGACTGAGAAAAAGCCTATTTAGCACAAAGCCTGGCGCGGAGTAAGAATTTAAAATTTTTAACTGAAATGAGGGAGATGGAGCTGGCAAACTGGGAATCTTGTAAAACTCTGTTTAAACCCAAAGAAGGTCGAGTGTTTCTTCAAAGCCCCTGGCTCACGCGTGTATGGGAGAGAGTGAACAAGGGTGACAGAGCAGGGTTCTCCAGGAGCCCAAGGTCTCTCCGGGATCCCTAACTCGTGTGTCCTCCCACTGAACCACAGCAGCTTAAAAAATAGCCTCAGGTGGCTGGACCATTACCCCATACACTGAAAAGGTTTTGGGTTTGATTCCCGGTCAAGGCACAGACCTCGTTTGTGGGTTTAATCCCTAGTCCGGGAGCATACAAGAGGCAACCAATCAATGTTTCTCTTTCACATCGATGTTTCTCTCTTTTCTCTCTCCCCTTTCCCCTCCCTCTACAATCAATAAGCATGTCCTCCAGTGAGGATTAGAAGATAAATATATATTTTAGTTAGTGCATTCCGCACTCAATCTGGTTCGCCGGACAAGGGGCAGGTGAGAGGCATGAAATATGGCCTGGCCTTAATCCTCTCCGCCTAGAACTCGGAATTAATTTGAACAAGGTCACTCACATAAAGGAGCCACATTCATTTTAAAGTGAACTATTTCTCTAGCAACTTAAACAGGTCCGATGCCTACGCGGGGACACTCACAAACCTGCTGTAAAAGGCGTCCACGCACTTCTGTTAACTCCACATGACCCAGGAGTTACCACTGTGGTCATGAGTCCACGCCTTTGGGTCCCACCGCGGGGAGAACGCATTGGGAACCATTTCCGAGTGCAGTCTCTCCAACACCGTGTACACTCTCTCCCACACCACCTCCCCTGCAACAACACATCATCCCCGGCCCGGGAAACACTCTTAAAAATAAGTCCTGGCCAGTTTGGCTCAGCAGTTAGAGCGTCGGCCTGCGGTCCAGAGAGACCCGGGTTCGGTTGCGGCTAAGGGCACGTACCTCGGTTGCAGTTTGTCCCCGGCCCTGGTTGGGTTGTGTGGGTGGCAGCCACTTGATGTGTTCCTTTCACATCGATGTTTCTCTCTCTGTCTCTTCCTCTCTCTTCCTCCCACTCTACCTGAACAAAAATGGAAAAATGTCCTCGGGTGAGGATAAAAAAAATAAAAAGAGCAAAACGGAAAGAGAGAGAGAGAGAAATAACTCAAGGACATGGACAACAGTGTGGTGATTTTGGAAAGAAGGGATGTGGGTGGAGATGGAGAAAGGTATAGAGGATATAAATGGTGAAAGAAAAAATATATATTAAAAAAAAAGAACAAAATGCCCTGGCCGGTTTTGCTCAATGGTTAGAGCATCAGTCCGCAGACCACAGAGACCCAGGTTTGGTTCCTGCTAAGGGCACGTACCTCGGTTGCAGTTTGTCCACAGCCCTGGTCAGGGTTGTGTGGGTGGCGACCACTCCATGTGTCCCTTTCATGTCGATGTTTCTCTCTCTCTCTCTTCCTCCCTCTCTCCCTCCCACTCTATCTGAAGATAAATGCAAAAATGTCCTCAGGTGAGGATTAAAAAAAAGAAGAAAGAAAGAAAAAGAAGAGTTAAGAAGTATTCCTAGCTCTTAAAATAAATAAATAAATAAAATATAAAAAAAGAACAAAATCTAAAAGAATATTAATAGTGAGACATCATGTAGGAGAAAAAAAATTGGATAGGGAGAAACTCCTTTACTGGTGCTAATTATCAATGCACGAGACTGGGCCACGCATGTGGCTTGTTTACAAACATTTCTGACCAAAATAAAAAGACAAATTCCTATTTGATCAAACAGCAGAGCCAGTTGCCCAGGCCCAGCCCCAGACAGGGGCGTGGCTCTGGCTCCAGCATGGGCGTGGCTCCAGCTCCAGCATGGGCGTGGCAAGTGCAATGAAAACTGAACACCTGTGAAGCCAACCAGGGTCTGAGACCATTCAAATCCCACTGGCTGATTTCTTCTTATTTTGTCTCCACTCGGCTCTCTTATTCTCCTCCCCCACCGGCTAAAACTAAGTACTGAGCTTCTTTTAGAAATAGAATTTTGGATTCTTCTTTAAAAGGCCACAGTATTTCAGTGATGTCATAAATCAACAACAGTAACAACATACACGTTACATGTAAGTACAGGACGGCGCTGTCCGACCCGAGGCTGTTGTCCACCCGCACGGTCACTCGGAAAATGCCCACGTTGTGATAGACGTGTCTGATCCCATCTTCCATGGAGCTCAGGTTGACATAAGACACCGCGATGCCGTCTCCGAAGTCCACTTGGATGAATGTCCTCTGGACGTCGCCCTGGAAGACAGCCACCGTCAGAGGAAAGGGAGCCTGTGCTAGGCTGCGTCTGCTCTGGGGCCGGGCCGTCCTGGGCACTGGCTCGGGAACCGTGGCAGCCCGGATCCCCCCCCCCCCCAGGCTCTGTCTGGGTCGGCCAGAATCCCTGTGACTCCCTGGCCAGCAGGCGTTCACTGTGGACGTTCTCCAAACCTGAAGGGCACTGACTGCCACAAGTTTCCAGGTTTGAGAAATTAAGTGTTTGATTATCAGCTCCAATTTGATGGTCAATTTCTCTGGAGGCTTTGCTTATCGTCTTATCAGCCATGTGAATAAAAAAGGTGTACATAGATTTAAATATTCCGCCTACCTGACATGATCAGAGACCACTCCCTGTGTGTTCAGACCCCCCGCCCCAGGTCCCCTTTTTTTCTGGTTCCCTGACTTTGCTGGCAAAAGGATAGGAGACCCTTGCCTTACATCTGGTATGACATTAGGCTCAGTCCTATTATCGTTCTTCTTAATATTTTTTCTTTATTGATTTATTTTAGATAGAGAGGAAGAGAGAGAGAGAAACATCGATGAGAGAGAACATCGATTGGCCGCCTCCTGCACGCCCCCCACTGGGGTTTGGGCCCACAACCTGGGCATGTGCCCTGACTGGGAATCAAACTGGCGACTGCTTGGTGCATGGGTTGACGCTCAACCACTGAGCTGCACCAGCTGGGCAAGCCCTATTATCATTTAAGATAATGATGGTTATTTCTTTTATACTTCAGCACTTTTTACTGTCAAAATGACCTCATTTTATTCTTCACGGGGTCTTAATCTGAAGAGAAAAGCAGGAGTTGTTCATCTACCTTACAGATGAAGAACTTCAGTGAAGAAAGATTTAATCATTTGCTCAGGTTAACAAAGCTAGTTAGCAGCAGTCCCAAGATTCGAACCCGTCTCTGCATTGCATTTCAGTCATTATCGGTGGGTAAAGAACTGACCCTTCTTCCAGGCTTGAATCTCAGGATGCCATTCACAAGCTAGATGATTTCATGCCTGTCATTCAGCCTCCTTTGGTCTAAGAAATGGGTATAATACCTTCCTGTCTTGACTCAAAGGGTTGTTATAAAAGACATGTGAGTCATTAACAATCTGTAAAATTCTATACCCAAACAAATGACTGTATAAACAAGGCAACTGTGGAAGATCTGCAGGGTTCTAAATTTCCCGCAGGGAGGCAGACGATGAAGTCTGATTTCTAAAATCCCAGACCTGTTAAAAAACAAAAACAAAAAACCATTTGGAGTCGCAGTCGGAGATTCCTAAGGAAGAAAGTTTCTTAGACTTCGTCGACACGGCTGACAGACACCAGCTTCCACCACACGCAGCCTGTGCTTGAATACACTTTGGTTTGTTTTGTTAGGGGTTCCCATTTCCGGGAGAGGAAAACCACCTTTGAACTAGAAATGTATTTTCGATTAAGTAAGGTTCATATGGTATCATATTTTTTGAAAAGGCCATGTTTAAAATGCTGACATTTAAAAGATTAATTCACAGGGGAAGAAAAAGCAGTTCAAAACCTATAAATCTATGTGACCTGTTCTTCTGATCTATGCCCAGCCAAGCACTGGGGGGGGGGGGGGTGCACAGCAGCTAACTCCTTGTTAGGGGGTATGGGCAAAAATTCTTCCCTAGGATGGGGAAACTCCATTCAAAATTACAAAACAAATATCCACAAGCCCAGACACTGTGCAAATACCTGAACTGCCTTCACTAATGAATATAACTGTCAATCATTCTTGCTGACTTGTCCTTCATCTGGACAACCAACTTGGACTGGCCAGTTTCTCCTCCTCTTTCTGGTCAGTTCCCACGCCCATGTTGGCTGGATTTTCAAGCGTTGCTGCCAGCCAACCCTAGAAGAGGAGCCACCTTATAATCGACTCTCATTATTTGGGATAAGTGTCTCAGGGAGCTATCAGGAGTAGCTAGAGTTAACCATGGAATAAAACAAGTAATATGGTTTCGGGGGGTGGGGGTGAGGTAGGGAGAGAGGGAGGGGGAGGGAGAATGGAGGAAGCGGGAGAGGGAAGAAAAGGGGGGAGAGATGATTAGGGTTCTTTGTGGGGACAGAGTAGACATCAGGGCATCACCATTTATGAAATCGGGACCTCCTGCTGTGGGCGCAGGCCTCTGGGCTGGTCACTCCACAGGAGGATGCAAGAGCATCAAGGGGTGGAGTCTGACCGTTGACAGATGCAGATTTCATCCCTGCTGTTGTAGCTCTGCCCACTTGAGTGGAACAAACTGGATCCCATGCCTTTGCCTTTGGGGGTTCTCAGGCACTTGGTAAGCCTAATACCACTGTCACTTCATAAGTTTGGAGCTCACCTGACATCCGCTTCTGAATTTGGGGGGCTGTAATTATCATCTGAGGCAGGGATGCCAACTCCTTTTGGAGAATAAGAAACAGGGCGGAAGGAAGATTGCTGAAGTCCTAGGTAACCATTTGATTAGGCAGGCTGGCCTGGCTTTCAGTGGCTCTCTGGTCATTCATCTTTCCGTCCGTCCAATCAACCAACCAACCAACCAACCAACCAACCAACCAACCAATGGGTAAATATTTATTGAGTGTCTATCTTGTGTCCAGCCCTAAATGAGAAGAAGAGATATAACCAACCAAACCAAACAGATGTGATCTGGGCTTTCACGAGCATACAGACTACGAGTGAGACAGGTGAAGTTTAAATACACAACATCACAAATAAATAAAAAGTTATCATAGAGATAATATGAAGGACAGCGCACAGCATTCTAAGCTTGTACAATAGACAGAGGTGGTCTGATTGAGAACTCCAGGGCAGGCTTTCCAGAGAGTGACATCTGAGCTCAGGGAAGCTAAGGCAGAGAAATAAATCACCCAAAGGACATCAGCGAGCCCTGGCCGGGTTGGCTCGGCGGTTGGAGAGTCGGCCCGCGGATTAAAGAGTCACGGGTTCAATTCTGGCCAAGGGCACGTACCTCAGTTTTGGTTAGGGAGGCAACCCCTCAATGTGTCTCTCTCACCTCAATGTGTCTCTCTCTCTCTCTTCCTTCTTCCCTCCCTCCCACTCTATCTGAAGATAAATGAAAAAAATATCCTTGAGTGAAAATTTTTTAAAAATAGTAAAAAAGGACATCGGTGAATATAATGGAGGTGAGCTGTCCATGCAATGAGAACAGAGGAAACAGATATGCAGGGGCCTGTGGCAGAAGTGGGAGGTACAGTGAAGGAGGCTGAGGATACAGACACGGTAGGACCATGTTATGAAATGAGACTGGAGGGGACAAAGTAATATTTTAGGTCTTGTGGGTCAAGTTTCTGATTTTGATCTTTTTCCTAAGAACTGGGAAGCCATTAAAGTGTTTTAAGCAGGGTTTGGGGGATAATAGCATGACGTTTTTAATTCAAAAAGATCACTCTGGCTACAATACCAAGAGTAAATTTGAAAGAGGCATGTATTCTGGGAATCCAATTAAGGGCGTTCAGGGCAGATGAGGGTGCATTGAAATATGAGTTACAACAGGAAATTACATACACCTTCCTGTCAAAATTAACTCCCATAGTTTATTAGTTTTGAAATCAGTGAGTCTCAGCCTTTGATAGCAGCATCTCTTACAGAAATGAAAAGGAGAAATGCTGATGTCCAGCTACCACCCAAGACCCGCCTCCTGTCTCCAGTCCTCTGGGGAGGATGCTGGGCCCTGCTGTGGTCTGAGAAGGTCCATTACTGATGCTGGGATGCATCCATGGCTGAGGCCCTCAGGTTCAGACTCTTGAACATTCGATTTTCTTGTGATGAAATTCATCTGAAGCTGAATCTAGTCCAGGACAAGCTGCTGCTATCCTTATTTTATTTTGGTATGACGGTAATGTTTGCCCAGGACGTTTTAGGATGTCCAGTGCTAAGGGTGCATCAATAAAGTCGGGAGTGAAGACTTCAACCCGTTGTTGGTGACTGGTACATAACCGCCAACAGAAGTTTCACCACCCAAGCTCACTTCCCTAGGAAAAGGAGTTGATGGAGGAGCTGCGGGCAGTGTGTGTAAACTTCTAAGGGCCGAAATGTACCATCCTCAGTACCTAATACAGTGCCCACGGAGGCGTCTTTTTCGCTCAATAAATTCTGAATACTGCGCACTTCTAATGTGTTTGTCCATCAAAGCATCTTCCTATGTATTACCTCATTTAGCTGTTAGGACTCCCGGGGACAGTGAGGTCAGATGTCATTTCTGCTGGATATTTCAGAAGAACTGGGTCACGGACAGGTTAGGTAAGCTGCCTAAAGCCCCGGCGTCTCTGATGGAAGGTTACCTGCGATACCTCTGAGTGAGGGAGGAATGGCGAAGGCACAGCATCGCTTTCCTTGTTGGACTCTATTCCTGCCTTTGCCTGTCTTCCCCTCTGACAACACTTTTCCTTACAAGTGGAAAGATGGGCTGTCAGGAACTCCATACACCATTCTTTTTTGAGAATTTTTATGAGTTTATTTGAGCCAAACTGATGACAGTTGCCGGGAAGCAAGCTCTCAAACGCTCCCTCCATACGCCATTCTTACGTCTTCCCTCTGGTGAGGCGGTATCATGTTCAAGCCATAAAGAAGATAGAGAACATGGGAAACAATAGGTATTCGGAATTGGTAGTCGGGAAAACCTTGTGTAGAACTGAGAGTAACGTCAAGCTAATAAATCACAGGTCGTCATTCCTGAAGCAGGACCTAGCCTGGCAAATACCTACACTGTCGTATAAAATTCTTTAGGCTGAAGCCCATTTAGTCACATGCCCTAATACAGACACAGAACTGAGAACGCCAGCTAAAGGGGTGTCTGAGAAAGGCACAAAAGCCAAATGAAACCAATCTGGGGATTCTCTGAGGGCATCACCGACGGTAATAGAAAAGCAAAGATATCAAATGGCCACAGTGAAGCCAAGGTTAACCTGAGGAATGAAAGGTGTGTGAACCTATCAGGTCCCATAACATGGCTTC